GAATTGCCTTAGAATTAAGTCTATTCATCTTGAAGGGAAGACATTTCACTTCAAAGGGTTTGGTTTCAGGTATGCCAGGTGCTGACTTTCATAGGTGGCATTTTTGTTAGTTCTCCAATTCTACCTTTACTCTACTTTCTCTCAAAAATTACAGAGTAATGACCCTGTTAAGGGAACAGTTGATGGTAATGTCCAGTTATAATTTATCACTGTGGAATTGCATAGATTCTCCCCTAGCTCTGCTTTCTGCGTTAAGGCGCTGTAATCCATTACATGCCTTTTGGAATGGCTATCATCCCAAAAAGTCCCTGAAGTAGTTCATCTTTAGGCTGAGTTCTTCTAAACTGTAGTGCAGATTTGGAGTTGATAGCTGTAACTTACACATGAATATTCATCAGAGTTGCATCCTATTTTGTTTCTGGCCACAAGATCTTTTTAATCCATCTGATCAAAATGCTCAGTAACGTTGAAAAACAGAGTAAAATTGTCCTTTGAGAAGGAAGATCATTTGTTGCAAACATGGTGCTTTGCTTGAATGAGGCTTTGAGAAATTTGAATTGACAAGCCACCTGAGTGAGGGTAAAAGTTTAAACCGTCACTTTTCTACATGAGTGCAGCTTTATTTTGGCTCTGCTTTTTTCCCCCTCTTGTTCTCAGATGCAGGATGGACGTGAATGAAGAATGGTTTGGCTGTCTGAAGCTTAGTATTCTTGCTCATTCCACACATGCAGTTTTACCTCAAATCTGGGATTTTTTGGTGATTCCTAATGAGCAGCTGGAATTATTACCCCCCTCTTTTCCTAGGAATGAATAACCCCTGAAAAAAACCACGTAATTCTTCAGGGATGAGTCTTAATACCTTTAAACTGGTGTTCATTCTCTCTTGCTCTTCCTCCTCCACCTCAATTATGAGCAATTGGGTGGTAGTAATTAACAATCTTAGAGAGAAACATCTGCTAGTACGCTTAAGCCAGTCAGTTTGTTTTTCATGAAAGAATGGTATTTCACAATTTTTCCAAGTTAATATTTTTCCTTTATTGTCTTTCCAATTTCAAATGTTGTCCAGACACATTTTTATAGTGTCTTAAGGTTATAGAAGTGAGTACAAGACCATTAATAATGAACAAGAGAAGAGAACATCATAAAGAAAACATATGCAGTATTTCAATTCATGAAACATTCTGTTAGGGAACAATGTTTTTGAGAGCATATGGTTATTCCCATGAGAAGCAATAAATATACTTTTTTTTTTTTCTTCCAGTTGTGGATTCCCACAACAAGGGTAGATTTCTCTGTATATTCATCTATATAGAGAGCATTCTCTTTGTCAGGACTTTTTATCTGAGTAGGGAGGTAACTATTTTTGCACAGATGATATATTGCATGTGGACCTATTTCTGATGGCCTAGACTCTGGAAACACAAGTCTATTAATTCTCCACACTCCTTTGAGATAGCAATCTTGTCTGGTCTAGTTTAATATCACTGGCAGAGCTAAAAGGAAGTTCACATTGTGAATATATGTGAATCTTGGCATGTGCCTCACTGGTAGATCACTGTTTACAGACTGCCAGTTTTAACTGACCCAAGCAGACATTTTCATTTTATTTATAAGTAGGTTCACCATGTGTTTGTATCCTTCATGAAATTGAGCACTTGTCAATAGTCAAAACTAAGTATAGAAACAAGATACCAAGTACTTATCCTTCTCTTCTCAGATGGAACAGTTGTACTCCAGGACGTATTTTTAAATGCCCATTGGGTTTGGATAGGGCACGTGAGAATACATGCAGAACACTTTACTTGATCACTTGTAAATGTTATTTTAATACCTCCATATTCCTCTTTAAAATTTCCTCATTTAGATTTCAGTTTTCTTTGCTGAATGAAACTTGACATCAGGATGAGATCACCAGATTTCCCCATTTCATCTGAGCTCCAAAATCAGTAACTGATTTCAAAGGATAATTCCCTGGAGCAGCAAAGCCAATGAGTTCTTCAGATCAAGGGTCAGCAAAGCTCAAAGAGGATAATTCCTGGCATACAGCATTTAAACTCTCAAGGAGTGTACTGCAAGATGTCTCCCCTCCTTCCCCAATGATTGAACTCTTGTTTTCTGAAAAGACTAATTTGTCTGAGCACATTTTTTCCTCTGTTACATAAGTTATACATTAAAGTGAAAGCTTCCTATCTGAACACACAAACTAGACATCCAGAAAGGTTGTTAAATGTGCCAGTGGGTGGGCTCTTCCTGAAGCCAGAAAGTAACTCTGTGCCATTCCTCTCTGAAGCACCCTTTGGATTGGGGAACTCTGCTGCTCTTTGCACATGCCAGCAGCTTCCAGCCCAGCAAAAGAGAATGGTGGTGGAAGGGAGAGAATGCTCTGTAGAATATTATATTTTGACAGAAAAACCCAACAAAGAGTATTGAGGCAGGAAATAGTCATCTTGTGCTGGATCTGCTGCCCAGTTCTCTCAGCCTAATGTTGTTTGCTACGGCAGTCATTTGGGATGCTGTACCTTAACACATAAAAAAGTATTTTGACCATTACATACCTTTATACATTTAAAAACATGTGTGATAACAGGGGTGGACTTTTTTTTTTTCATTGGTACACTTTCCAATGAAGCTAAGGGTCATAGCTTTCATTTCTTTCACATTCTCTAGAGAAAGATTATGGGGGTTTGCAAAACCCTCTCATACAAATGTTTCTATCAGCTTAGTTAGAACTGTTGATGTGAGAAACTGATCCCTGGTACACATGAGCCACTGCAAATCTAGGACTGTATTTACTAGTTATGAAGAACTGCTGTCAATATAACCATCCCTGTGATGAAGGCATACTTGAACTTTGCTGATTTTAGAAGTAAACAGTACAGCTGGGCTAAGATAGACAACAAAACATTGTCTTTTGTTTTATGGAAGTATTTTTGTGGCCTTGGCTTTAAACTTCCAGGAATATGGAGTTGTATTTATGGACAAAGTGAGTATAAATCAAATGACCTTTCTTCAGATATACTTCAAACTTCTGTGTTGTAAGTGATGTTCATATTAATATGAGACTTCACCATGATAAACACTGTACAAAACCCTCTTAATGAATAGCCCCTGTTCATTTGATAACACCAGCTTAAAAGGACAAGGGAAAAAACTGCTTGAAATGAGCTTTCTCTTCCTTTAGCTGAGCCTCCTGCTTAGATTACATTTTGTGTAGGG